TACGCCAAATTCTGACTCTGCCATCAGCATGAAGCAACAGGAACCAGGATTCGTTGGACCAGGCAATGTTTTTCCACTCCTCAATTGTCCAGTGTTGGTGATCGAGTGCCCACTGGAGCCGCTTCTTCTTGTTTTTAGCTAATAGGAGTGGAACCAGGTGTGGTCGTCTGCTGCAATAGCCCATCCGTGACAAGGACCAATGAGTTGTGCGTTCCGAGATGCCGTTCTGCACACTACTGTTGTACTGCGCCGTTATTTATCTGTTTGTTGCCCGCCTGTTAGCTTGCTTAACCCAGAACTGTCGTGCGTGAAAAGCTCTGGATGCAGGCCGTTTCTGAGATACTGGAACCGGCACGCCTGGCACCGACGATCATACCACGCTCAAAGTTGCTTAGGTCATTAGTTTTGCCCATTCTAATGTTCAATCGAACAGTAACTGAATGCCTTGATGCCTGTCTGCCTGCTTTATATAGCAAGCCACGGCCACGTGACTCACTGTCTGTAGGAGCGATACATTTTCGTGAACCTAATAAACTGGCCACTGAGTATATTCAGCTATTAGCAGCTTCCTGTCTCTCTTCTTCTCTGACTCTGGATGTCTAAAGGAAATTACCTGCAATTTACTTGCCAGTACGTGTTCACACACACACAGGCTAAAGCAGACGGGTTCACATAGAGTAGCTGTAACCATAACAACCTGGCCTGGCCAAACAGAAGCCCCCCCCCCCCTCCCGTCCTCAATACCACCTCTGTCACGCTGTCTGGTTTGAACACACTGGAGCCGTAAAAAGGATCTGTGATTATTGAATTGAAACACAAAGGAGTAATGTAATATCTGGACTGTAGAAACAGCCAGCCTGGTCCCATCTTTATTTACACACCAACTGCCAACACAGCATAACAGCTTCCAATCGCTATCTTTCGCTCTCTGATAGACACACACACGAACACACTCATCGTGGCAGAACATACAGTCACAGATGGTGTACAATAGCCTAATTTCATTTCCAATCAATTGAATTGAAAATAAACTGTGTTCACTAAGACTGTACTCTATCAGAGGTTTTAACTGCCATAAAATCAGCAGCACGGTTTAGATTTAATAGCAACTGACTGAATTTTGGCAGACATAAAATGAGATCAGACTGGGGTTGTTGAGAGAGATATTTACTGATCCGACTGATCGGTGGGCTGTTCACAGCATCTCTCCATACAGACAGCCTGTCTTCCTGTGGAATGGATTGTCCTACTCCTGCAGGCTCACCGTCTGTCTGGGTCTCACAGACACTTAACTTTCCTCATGTTGTTGTCGTCAGGTACCTTATTCCATATACTGCACTACTTCTGAAGTTAAAGTTTTCTGATCAGACTGATGGATCTGCTGAACACAGACAGCCTGTCCTCCTGTGGAATGGATTGTCCTACCGGCTAGGATGTCTGTCGAGACAGCCATTTAGAGAATGTGAACTTTCCTCATGTTATCTTTAATATAATGTACTACTTCAGAAGTAAAGTTTTCTGTATCATAAATATGTTTATTTTTGGTATATCAGCAGCATTCTTCAGAAAGTTCACAACTTTGACTACTTTGACAGAAGGAAGTCTGGCTACTGTTTGATACAGTAAATAATATGTAATCATACTTCAGTTAGGTAGCAAAATATAATGGTCACAATGTAATTCAATACACCACAAACATGAACATTGTAAAACTCTGGGCAACATCTTTTGATGCACAACAAAGCCAAAGATAGATACACCTGTATATTCAGTACAGTCACCATAACATACCATAACATAACGCATTAAATTGTTTAACTTTTCATGTTCATTTATGTAAACACTGGACACACTCAATAAGAATAAATAACAGTGACTATACTTTATAAAACATTGTGTGATATGACAATCATGGAGAACATAACGTTTTCAGTTCTTCAGGTAAATCAGTTTAAATAGTTTGTTTACCTTTGAAATAAAAGATATAGATATGTCCAGTTGTTTGGTGACAATCATGCATCAATCACAATGGTGCGTATCATCATGTACTCAACACAGATAGCTGAACCAATAGCTGAAGCAGGGCATGACAATCAGGTAAGTGTGTGTGTGTGTGTGTGTGTGCGCACCATTGTTCTGTCAGACACACACACGCTGTAGGGAAGGAGCAGTTGCAGCTGGTGGATGCTCAGTCAGGTGTTCAAAGCAAGACACACACACACACACACACACCCACCTGGGCATTGAATGATGCTTGGCATGTCATACCTGGCTGTGATACGTCAGCCACCAGCTGTGGCAGAGATTTCAAGTGCCAGTGTTTGTGTGAACCAAGTATATGTATATACAGTACATACATACATTATAAATACACATGAAAGCATAGACACATACTAAGTAACATAGTAAATAACATACTAAGTAACATACTAAGTAACATATGAAGTAACATACTAAGTAACATATGAATTAACATACTAAGTAACATACTAAGTAACATATGAATTAACATACTAAGTAACATACTAAATAACATACTAAGTAACAGTAAATAACATACGAAGTAACATACTAAATAACACACTAAATAACATACTAATTAACATACTAAATAACATACTAAGTAACATACTAAATAACATACTAAGTAACATACTACCATGCTTTTCTTGTTTGTGCTTCTCTACACACACAATGCATCTTTCAGTGAACTATCTAAAACGAAATGTGCACAGGTAAAATAATGTGTGCAGAGGCTATTCTGATTTTCTCTCCAGCATAGACAGACTCACACATCTGTTGGATTGCTTTCTAGAGTATATCAGTGGGTTAGCCTCTGTACTGCACATACAACACAGATAATAATGCAATAGACATAGGCAACAATGTAAAGCTCGCCAGACACAAATACAAATATACACAAACACACACACACACAGCCCCCCATTGCCCTGCTCCATACTCTGTGTGTGGACAGATTAGGTAACATAGAGGGCTTAGAGAGGAGGAAGAGGAAGAGGAAGACTGTTTTTCTCCACCTCTCCCTTCTTTCCACTGACCCCTCTCACTCTGACCTCTCCTTTCTTTCCACTGACCCCTCTCACTCTGACCTCTCCTCTCTTTCCACTGACCCCTCTCACTCTGACCTCTCCTCTCTTTCCACTGACCCCTCTCACTCTGATCCCTCCTCTCTTTCTCTCCTGTTGTTTTTCCTCCTCACTTCTCTATGTGTAACTGACCCCTCTCACTGTTTTCCCTCCCTACTTCCCCACCCCGCCTCTTCTCTACTCTATTTGTGTCCCCCTCTTTTTTCTCCTGTCTAGATATATCTGCCCTGTGCCCTGACCAGGCAGACAGAGTACTGCTCCTCAAATTGTTGTCTCTGAACAGTAATCCCCAACAACAGGTGCTGGACCAACAACCTTCCGGAAATACACACACACACACACACACACATACACTTGCACGAACAAATGCACACACACACTTGCATGAAGAAATGTATGCACACACACACACACACACACACACACCCTGCCTGACTCTGTTCACACTCGCACAAAAACATCAGTGTTTTCTTAGGGAGAGAGCTGTGGCTGCCATTGATGCTAGGAGAAGCGATTGGTTGAGTGTTCCAAAGACAGCCCTACACAGCCCTAGGGTTCTGGAATGCAGGTGGGTATATGATGGAAAGAATCCTTATGAGCTGCCCACTTGGCCTGGTCAGATATACTAGACAAGGAGAATAGAACACTACACCAGGTTCTAGGGCATAAAAGCCATGTATGCCTAAAGAAGAGCTCTGGACTCCAGTTTGATATACACTGATTGTACAAAACACTAAGAACATCTGCTCTTTCCATGACATAGACTGACCAGGTGAATCCAGGTGAAAGCTATGATCCCTTAATGATGTCACTTGTTAAATCCACTTCAATCAGTGTAGATAAAGGGGAGGAGACAGGTTAAAGAATGATTTTTAAGGGGGTAAATGGGCAAGACAAAATATTGAAGTGCCTTTGAACGGGCTATGGTAGTAGATGCCAGGCGCACCGAATGGTGTCAAGAACTGCAACGCTGCTGAGGTTTTCACGCTCAATAGTTTCCCGTGTTTATCAAGAATGGTCCACCACCCAAAGGACATACAGCCAACTTGACCCAACTGTGGGGAAGCATTGGAATCAACATGGGTCAGCATCCCTGTGGAACACTTTCGACACCTTGTACATTTACATTTTAGCAGACGGTCTTATCCAGAGTGACTTACAGGAGCAATTAGGGTTAAGTGCACATCGAGGGCACATTGACAGATTTTTCACCTAGTCGGCTCGGGGATTAGAACCAGCGACCTTTCGATTACTGGCACCACTCTCTTAACCACTAAGCTACCTGCTGCCCTGACCAATTGAGGCTGCCCTAGCCGATGTTGTGTCAGCATTCGAATGTGTGAGAATAGAGCACTAGTCCAGGCTATAGTGCACTAAACCACGTATAATCTCTCGTGGACAGTACCTAAACATAACTGGTACGGTAGATCTGTCGGCATGCTATGGGATGTGTGAGATTATGAGCAGCATTAGTTCCGGGGCTTGGGTTTTCATCACTGCTTATTTGGACATATCAGGATTGGGTGAAGGCGGTGCTTAAACTGCTTCACTTCGACAGATGATAAACACAGGTGAAAATATCAGAAGGGGGTGGAGGGCGTTGACTGAGATTTTCCTTTTGCGAGGGTGGAGACAAAACTGAAATCTCAATTTCTAACACGCTTCCCCCAGAACCTAATCGAGCAGCTGACCAAATTTCGCAACATTTTAGTTCTGGGTTAAGTGAGATTAAACCACGACTAATCCAGTTAGGTGTTTGTTATGCCACTAGGCCATGTTATGTCTGCCGTAGTAAGGGCTGTCGGGGGAGTTAAGGGCTGATCGTGAGGCTGAGCCGTTGGAGGTGGAGGTGAGCTCCAGGGTTGTCTGGATGATAGGGGGGCTAGCTGACTGCTCTGCCCCACAGCGCTCCTCCTCAGTGGGCTGCAGAACTGTCGACATACTGGTCTCCATCCGGCTGGCCCGGTACACACTCACCTGGAAACAGAGATAAGGGGGACAGAACTTAAACATACACACTCATACACACACCCAGAAAGAAGACGGAATCTACACACACCTGGGTCTGTAGGTAGCGGGTGGACTTGAGTTCCAGTCCCCCGTAGGAGGTGGCAGGAACACACGGACACCAACAGAACACCTGCTGAAAGCCTGCCCTGAACCTAAACAGAGGGTTGAGAGAGAAAGCAGGAGAGAGGGGGGAGTGAGAGAGAGAGAGGAGAGATAGATGGGGAGAGCGAGAAGGAGAGACCAATGGGTCAAATAGACGTGTGTGTGTGTGTGTGTGTGTGTGTGTGTGTGTGTGTGTGTGTGTGTGTGTGTGTGCGTGCGTGCGTGCGTGCGTGCGTGCGTGCGTGCGTGCGTGCGTGCGTGTGCGTTTGCACGCCTGTTGTGTTTGTGCTTGTGTGTGTACCACAGGAGGCTGGTGAGGGGAGGACGTGTAATAATAATGGCTAGAATGGGGTAAATGGAATGGTATCAAAGACAGTGTGTTTGATGTGTTTGGTACCACTCCTATCATTCCGTTCTAGCCATTAGTTTGAGCCCATCCTCCCCAATTAAGGTGCCACCAGCCACCTGTGGTGTGTACACAGTCACCTACCTGTCGTTGAGACAGCAGTAGATGATAGGGTTGTACATGGTGGAGCTCATGGCCAGCCACAGGACAGCCAGGTAGACCTGTTGGATGTAGCGCCATTCAAACAGCTGCATGGGGTCAGGGTGGAACTGCTGGAGCAGGAAGTAGATGTGGTAAGGCAGCCAGCACACTGCAAAAGTACACACCACCACGATCATCATCTTCACTACCTACAGAGAGAGGGAGGGAGGGAAGGACAGTTGAAAGAAATTGAGGGATTTGCTTAAGAGGTTCCTGTCACGACTTCGGCCGAGGCTGCCTCCCCTCCTTGTTCGGGCAGGCTTCGGCGTTCGTTGTCACCGGAGTACTAACCACTGCCGCCCCAATCATCATCACAATTGTCTTGTCAATCACACACACCTGGTTCTAATCCCCTCATTAGTCCATGTATAAGTGTTCCCTCTGCCCCCTTGTCCTTGTGGGTGATTATTAATTGTGAGAGCATGTAGCTCGATGGAGCTACTCATAACATTGTGTGCCAGGGATGTTTGTTTCCCCTGTGCCTGTTTCGTTGATCGCTATTGGAGCGCATTTGTGTGTCAACGAAGGAATAAACTCTGTATTCGGTGATTACCCTCCTGCGCATGACTCCTTTCACCACACTCACCACAGTTCCCTGCTGTGTGTGGCCATGCATGAGTGTGTGTACATACAGGTATTGTGTTCTGCCTGTGAGCTTCAGTGTGTGTGTGTGTGTGTGTGTGTGTGTGTGTGTGTGTGTGTGTGTGTGTGTGTGTGTGTGTGCACCTTGCGTTTGGCGATTAGCTGCTCTCGGTAGCGGTGGGTGGAGTCTCCAGGGATAGTCCCCACCCACAGGGACAAGCCCACCACCAGGTAGGCACATCCCATAATGCACAGCGGCAGGAAGTAGTACAGCAACACCACAGACACAGAGTACCTACACAGAGAGAGAGATATATATAAATACACACACACTAATGAGATTGTTGGACTGGGGTCTCAGGTCTAGTCTAGTAGAACCCTGTTCTGATTTGATTCCTTATCTCTGCCTCCGAACGCACACACACACACACACACACACACACACACACACACACACACACACACACACACACGATGTCTGCTGATTCCTTATCAGTCTCGCTACAGGGAGTAGCGGCCCAGAAGATCAGCTCTCACTGAAAGATGCATGAAATCAATTTACTGAGAGGAAGAGAGGAGAGGGGGAGGAAGAGGAAGGAGGAGAAGAAAAGAGAATGAGTGGAGGAGAGCGAGGCCTAAATCAAGCCCTAGCCCCTAACTTCTAACATCAGACCAACTACAGGAACTCAGCTGCTTATGGAAATGACTTCATTCCCCCGAACACCTGAGACTAATGGAGATACTAAATAACACACACACACACACACACACACACACACACACACACACACACACACACACACACGCACACACACACACGCAAACGCACAAGAGCTTTTGGCAACACTATACTTGACACCCAGTGTCATAACATGTTATGACATGGTCATAACCATGTCATAACAGCTGACATAACTTGTCATGACCTGTCATAATATGGTCATAACACTGTCATGACCCATATATTTTACACCTGTTGTGACATATATTGTGTTATTTTATTGCTGGTTATGACACCTTCATAAGAGTTGGGAAAGAGTCAGCAAGAAAGGCATTTCACTGTACTAGTGCACGTGCAGTGGTGTAAAGTACTTCAATAAAAATACTTTAAAGTACTACTTAAGTCGTTTTTCGGGGTATCTGTACTTTACTTGACTATTGATTTTTGACAACTTTTACTTCACTACATTTCTAAAGAAAATAATGTACTTTTTACTCCATACATTTTCCCTGACACCAAAAGTACTTGTTAAATTCTGAATGCTTGGCAAGACAGGAAAATGGTCCAAGTCACACAATTATCAAGAGAACATCCCTGGTCTCTGATCATCTGGACACACTAAACACAAATGCTTCGTTTGTAATTATGTCTGAGTGTTGGAGTGTGCCCCTGGCTATCCGTAAATTTTAAAAACACGAAAATGTCTGCTTTGCTAAATTTAAGGAATTTTAAATGATTTATACTTTTACTTTTAATTTTGATCCTTAAGTATATTTTAGCAATTACATTTACTTTTGATACTTAAGTATATTTAAAACCAAATACTTTTAGACTTTTACTCAAGTAGTATTTTACTGGGTGACTTTCACTTTTACTTGAGTCATTTTCTATTAAGGTATCTTTACTTTTACTAAAGTATGACAATTGGGTACCTTTTCCACCCCTGTGCACGTGACAATAAAAAACTTGAAACACACATCCTCTCTCACACATAATTATACACACCCCACTCTTGCATATGTAGCCTACCTTTAAAGCATCTCTTTGAGGAGCCTATTCTTGTTCAGTTCTTCCTGTGCCATCTACATTTGTGCATAGCCTAGTCAGTGGTCAAGTTATCAGGTTGCTAGCTAGCTAGGTAACATGACTAGCTAGCTAAACAATGTTGTTTGTTATCAAAACCAAAAAATAACGGCTCGTGAGTAGTTTAAAACAACCCATGACATCCGCACCAATCCATGGAAGAAAGAAAAAACAGACTCGATTAACGGCATCAAATAAATGTACGCGTTAACTTTGACAGCCCTGCTAATTAGTAAAGTAAATTCTGTGTGAAGAGCTTTTTAATAGCTAAACAGTCTACTCTTTGTTTATAACTGCTGCAATGTTGACTAATGATATCAAACTGTTATCATTCATAGAGAATAACTTATATTTCACAGTTTGGAACATGGCTGTCTAGGGAGTCTAGACTGTTAACGATGGTTATTCATCTCTTTAATATATAATTGATTTACATTTTCTTATTTTCTATGTGCCAGACAAAATGCTTGAGATATATAACGATGGCCACACAGCATCAATAAATAACACAACAAAACAGAAAAACAGTAACAACAATACAATTAATTCAAATCCTAGCAATCCTACGACTTCTGTCTAACAATGGTTATTCATAACACATAACACCCACAGACTGAACATCTACTATCTGTTTGGTTCTAAATCAATCTCTTGACTAATAGAGGTTCGATAGATTCATGAATCATTCCACTCGGATGTTATATTACAAGGAGACAAATAGCAGAAAGACGCTAGGCCTATTCATCCAGAAGTTTGATTGGATTTTAGCTCAGACAGAAAAAGGATGTGAGTAGTGAGTCAGATTTTACAGACAGAAAATAATCCAGTTTATTCTCTAATGTCTAGTGAACCTCCTAGTGAACCTCCTCGTGAACCTCCTCGTGAACCTCCTAGTGAACCTCCTAGTGAACCTCCTGAAGATGATGCTTCCTTCAAACAAACCCCTTTGTGTGTGTGTCAGTCAGTACTCACATCTTATTGAAGTCCATGGTTGTGTCATTGGTGTATTCAGGCCATTGGATGTAACAGACAGTCCTACCAGGCAGCTGGTCAGTAGCTGAGTAGTAGTACTGGGGGAAGGCCAACAGTAGAGCTAACACCCAGATCACTCCGATCACTACACAGGTCTCTGCTGAAGACAACCTCTGCCTCAGGGGGTGGATGATAGCCATGTACCTGGAACAAACACACACACACACACACACGCACACGCACACACACACACACACGCACACACACACACACACACACACACACACACGCACACACACACACACGCACACACACACGCACACATACACACACACACACACGCACACACACACACACGCACACACACACGCACACATACACACACACACACACACACGCATATAGTGATCAGTTATACACACACACACGTGGGATATGAATTTTTGCACTAACTCTCTTGCACTGACTTTACGCACATACACTAGACTCTACCCACACACTTACACATACACTAGAGACCCCAACACACACACTACATACACCCACATTACACGCGCACACATGCATACTGATGCGACACTCACACACACACACTTTCTCGTTATTGTTATTCATTATTCACTGTGTATCTATTCCTCGTGTCACAATGTTTAAAAATTGTATCTTTCTCTCTGCATTGTTGGGAAGGTTCTGTAAGTAAGGATTTCACTGTCATTCAAGACCTGTTTTTTACGAAACATGTTACAAATACAATTTGATTAGATTTCAACAAACAGAGATCAGTAATACACACACACACACACACTGTTATACACAAACACTGTTATAAACACATTACTGTAGTACAGACACACATTTATATACACACACTCTACTGAAGGGACACCAGGGGATACAGACATGGCTATGATTAGTTTTACATTCCACTGGTTTAATTTAATTGGCAATTACTGATAGTTCAACTTCTTTAGCTCAATAGATACATTCTGGTGACAGATGGAGAAGAGACACTGCACTGTGTGTGTGTGTGTTCCTCCAAGCCCTAATGAAAGGTAATCATGCAGAGTTGATGTGAGAGTATCTGATCCTACTCCTCTACCTTTCTCTCCTCTCCTCTCCTTCGCTCCTCTCCTCCTCTACCCTCCTTTCCTCCTCTCCTCCTCTACCCTCCTCTACCCTCCTCTCCTCCTCTACCCTCCTCTCCTCCTCTCCTCCTCTACCCTCCTCGCCTCCTCTCCTCCTCTACCCTCCTTGCCTCCTCTCCTCCTCTACCCTCCTCGGCTCCTCTCCTCCTCTACCCTCCTCGGCTCCTCTCCTCCTCTACCCTCCTTGCCTCCTCTCCTCCTCTACCCTCCTCGCCCTCCTCTCCTCCTCTACCCTCCTCTACCCTCCTCTCCTCCTCTACCCTCCTCTCCTCCTCTCCTCCTCTACCCTCCTCTCCTCCTCTCCTCCTCTACCCTCCTCGGCTCCTCTCCTCCTCTACCCTCCTCGCTCCTCTCCTCCTCTAACCCTCCTCGGCTCCTCTCCTCCTCTACCCTCCTCTACCCTCCTCTCCTCCTCTACCCTCCTCTCCTCCTCTCCTCCTCTCCTCCTCTCCTCCTCTCCTCCTCTACCCTCCTCTCCTCCTCTCCTCCTCTCCTCCTCTCCTCCTCTACCCTCCTCCACCCTCCTCTCCTCCTCTACCCTCCTCGCCCTCCTCTCCTCCTCTACCCTCCTCTCCTCCTCTCCTCCTCTACCCTCCTCTCCTCCTCTCCTCCTCTCCTCCTCTACCCTCCTCTCCTCCTCTCCTCCTCTCCTCCTCTCCTCCTCTACCCTCCTCCGCCCTCCTCTCCTCCTCTACCCTCCTCGCCCTCCTCTCCTCCTCTAACCTCCTCTCCTCCTCTCCTCCTCTACCCTCCTCTCCTCCTCTACCCTCCTCTCCTCCTCTACCCTCCTCGCCCTCCTCTTCTCCTCTCCTCCTCTACCCTCCTCACCCTCCTCTCCTCCTCTACCCTCCTCCCCTCCTCTCCTCCTCTACCCTCCTCGCCCTCCTCTCGTCCTCTACCCTCCTCGCCCTCCTCTCCTCCTCTCCTCTCCTCGCCCTCTTCTCCTCCTCTACCCTTCTCTCCTCCTCTACACTCCTCTCCTCCTCTCCTCCTTTATCCTCCTCGCCCTCCTCTCCTCCTTCCTCCTCTCCTCCTCTACCCTCCTCTCCTCCTCTCCACCTCTACCCTCCTCGCCTCCTCTCCTCCTCTACCCTCCTTGCCTCCTCTCCTCCTCTCCTCCTCTACCCTCCTTGCCTCCTCTCCTCCTCTCATTGTGTTGCTTCACTGATGTGATTTACAAGACAAGGAGATGGGGTGACACCAAAACTATCATCTCCCTTCCTCTCTTTCCTTCCCTTCTCTCTTTTTCCCCCTCCGCCCTTTCTCTCCTTAATCCCTTCCACCCCTTCTCCCCTCTCTCTTCCTCTCTTCCCCTCTCCTTCCCACTTGATTATCACCCCTTCCCATTTGTTCTCTCTCTCTCCCTCCCTCTCACTCTCCCTCTCCCTCTATCACTTTAAGGGTCTTTATTGGCATAGGAAACATGTATACATTGCAAAAGCTAGTGAAATATATATATTTTTAAATAACAGTAAACATTACACTCACAAAAGTTCCAAAATAATAAAAACCTCTATCCCTCCCTCCCTCTCTCTGTATCCCTCCCTCTCTTTCTCTCTATCCCTCCCTCTCTCTCTCTCTCTCTCTCTCTCTCTCTATATATATATATATACCCTCCCTCTCTCTCTCTATACCTCCCTCTCTATCCCTCCCTCCCTCCCCCTCCCCCTCCCCTCCCCTCTCCACTCATCCTCTCATCATCATCCCTCTCCTGCTCTCGCTCCTCTCCCTCCCTCTCTTCTCTCCTCTCTCTCTTCCTCTCTATCCCTCTCGTCCTCTCTCCTCCTCCCTCGATCTTCCTTCTCTCACCTCTCCTCTCGTCTCTCTCTCTCCTCTCCTCTTTCATCTCTTCTCTCCTCTCTCTCTCTCTCTTTCTCCTTCCTCCAATTCTCTCTCTCCTCTCTGTATCCCTCTCTATCCCTCCCTCCCCCTATATTCCTCCTTCCCCCTATATCCCTCCTTCCCTCTTTATCCCTCCCTCCCTCCCTCCCTCTCTCTATACCTCCCTCCTTCTCTCCCTCCCTCCTTCTCTCCCTCCATCCCTCACTCCCCTTCTCTCTATCTCTCTCTCTATCCATCCCTCCCTCTCTATCCCTCCCGCTCTATCCCTCCCTTTCTCTCTCTCTCTCTCTCTATCCCTCCCTCTCTATCCCTCCTTCTCTCTGCCTGTTGAGGTAAAATTGATCCTCTTCAGACACAGCGGTTTACAAACACACCTCTTGTTAACACTCCCGGGGAGCATGGGATCATCTGGGGAAAGGGCTACTCTCTTTCTCTCTCGCTCTCTCTACTTCAATATTGCAAGAATGTTCCGATTATTCTAACATTGTGGTGACGTACTGAAGAGAGGGGGATCTGTGTTCTGACAGTGAGCCCAGTATGAGGGATGTGGAGAATGAGGGATGGAAAAGAGAGGAGCAGGGATGATGTGGAGGAAAAGGCAGCTCACACACACAGGCTGTGGCGACATACTGATGACGGTATGTGAGAGAGAAGCAGGGTTGGAGAAGGGATCTCTAGGAAAAGGTTGCTTTTAAACACATCAAACACACATAACAGTACACACACACACACACACAAAACGTCCACTTGAGTAGTGACTAAACAAGTCCAAAGCTAATAAATGTTTGACTGAAGCCAGTGCTGAGATTATAGAGGAGAGGATTTAAGACTCATGTTGCACTGAAGACATGGATGTTACATAAGCTTTAGTGTAGCTGGCTGTGGTGTGGTCATGCACACACAGCATACAGGGTTGCTTACTTGTTCCGAGCTATGGCAGTCATGGAGTAGATTCTAGTGAAAACAAACACACACTAGCGCGCACCCATTCACCGACACACACACACATACTGCTCACCTTTCCAGTGCTATGGCGGTCATGGAGTATATGCTGGTGAAGACCGCTGCAATGGGGAAAAAGTTATGGAAGCGACAGTAGCCCAAACCAAAGTACCACTCGTTATGGACGCTGTAGGCAAAGTTTATCACTGTGTTGAAGGCAGACATAGACGCCTCTGCAAAGGCTAGGTTCACCTGGGAGAAGAAAATAGGAATCAGACAGACAGACAGGCACACAAAACAAAGTTCACATTCACTGGTGAATTTTTTTAATAAACAAATTTAGAAATTATGACATAAGGTCTGTCCAAGCTCTCTCGGTCCTTAGCATTTTACATTTGTTTGTTTACCAGAAAGTAGTTGGTCACGGTCCTCATGCGTTTGTGCGCGAGGATGATCCAGATGACTACCAGGTTACCGATCACGGAGACGCACACCATGCTGCAGTAGGCGATGGCCCAGAGAGCGATCTGCCACACCGGCTGTACGAACTGGTTATAGCCCTCTGTGTCGTTCAAACCGGAGCCGTTAGTGGCGTTAACGGAAGGGTAGTAATCCGTGGTGTTCAACAGCGAGTCCATCTTTAGATCTCAGAGCTTTTGTGTTGAAAGAGTAAGAATCCAAATAGTATAGGCTAAAATAATAAATATTATATTTGAAGAATAAGTACAGATATTTACAGTAGCCTAACTTTGTGATCGTTTTTGTTCTTGTTTCACAACAAAACAATCTTCTGAGGTTTATCTTTGTTGCGGAGGGTTATAAACCCCAAAATATTTTGATAGTAACAGAAAAAAAAAGAAAGTGAATGGAATGTTGATCTGGGAGAATATCGCAGTAGTAAAAACAGTCGTAGTTACTTTCTTCTGTTGACCGGGTCATTGGTCAGATTTACGCACTTCTCTCTCCCAGATGGACAAGAATGTTTTGGAATCTGAGTTACAGGTGAAAAGCGTTGGGATTGAAATGGTCTTCGTTCTCCATATTCGTGTTTACTTTCCCGTGAACGGTAAACCTTGTGTCCGTTTTTTCTTGTCGCGCGCAGGCTGGGAAGGACGCACACTATGCGCTCTCGGGAGTCCATCACAATGCCAAGCATTGCCATACCCATGCCGCACACAGACATTTGAGCCACATACGCACGCGCGTAAAAGCCACAGCCTCACACACACGAATATGTTTGAAGTGAAGTGTATATATAAGAATGGTTGATGTATTCTGGTGTGATTTCCCTCATTGAGCAAGGTAAGGTGTTGAGTCAGATGGAAATCTCTGAAATGTCTCTCTCTGTGAGTAATGTTTTCTGCATCTAGGCTATCATCTTCTGAGTGGTTCACATGATCGATGCCATGGCCTGCAGTCAGACATCTGGAGTTCAGTCTTCTATTTCAACTATTTCTCTTCATTTCCTCCCTCCCTTCCTCCTCAGTCTCCCTATGTACCTCCATTTATCTCCCATCCTCCCTCCAATCATTCTCTTCCTCTTTACCAGAGAGAGTGAGCATCATTAGGAAGAGTGGTCTGTGTAAGTTCCCTACATAAATATTCTGATGTCTGGATCTCAAGGCTGTGGAGATGTAAAGCCTCATTTACAAGACAGGGGCTGCATTACTATTATATAGTAACATTACTCTATTCTGTCTCTCTCTATCCTCTACCTGCTCACTCTCTAGGCGCATTTCCTCTCACTCAGTTGGCTCTCCCCCTCTCTCTCTCTCTCTCTCTCTCTCTCTCTCTCTCTCTCTCTCTCTCTCTCTCTCTCTCTCTCTCTCTCTCTCTCTTCTCTCTCTCTCTCTCTCTCTCTCTCTCTCTCTCTCTCTCTCTCACCAAACAGGGTTATCATCAGAATGGACAGTAGGGAAATGGAAGGCAATTTCACCAACTACTACTCAGAACTACAACACAATCCACCTTGAGAGGAGGAGATGTGAGGAGAGAGGGATGAGGAGAGTAGGAGGGGAGTGGACTGGAGGAGAAGAAAGGAGAGGAGGGGAGATGAGGGGAGTGGATGAGAAGAGTAGGAGGGGAGTGGACTGGAGGAGAAGAAAGGAGAGGAGGGGGGATGAGGGGAGTGGACTGGAGGAGAAGAAAGGAGAGGAGGGGGGATGAGGGGAGTGGACTGGAGGAGAAGAAAGGAGAGGAGGGGGAGATGAGGGGGGGACTGGAGGGAGAAGAAAGGGAGGGAGGGGGGGGGATGAGGGGGAGTGGACTGGAGGAGAAGAAAGGAGAGGAGGGGGGGATGAGGGGAGTGGATGAGAAGAAGAAAGTAGAGGAGGGGAGATGAGGGGAGTGGACTGGGAGGAGAAGAAAGGAGAGGAGGGGAGATGAGGGGAGTGGACTGGAGGAGAAGAAAGGAGAGGAGGGCGGATGAGGGGAGTGGACTGGAGGAGAAGAAAGGAGAGGAGGGGGGATGAGGGGAGTGGACTGGAGGAGAAGAAAGGAGAGGAGGGGGGATGAGGGGAGTGGATTGGAGGAGAAGAAAGGAGAGGAGGGGAGATGAGGGGAGTGGACTGGAGGAGAAGAAAGGAGAGGAGGGGAGATGAGGGGAGTGGACTGGAGGAGAAGAAAGGAGAGGAGGGGAGATGAGGGGAGTGGACTGGAGGAGAAGAAAGGAGAGGAGGGAGATGGGGGAGTGGACTGGAGGAGAAGAAAGGAGAGGAGGGGGGATGAGGGGAGTGGATTGGAGGAGAAGAAAGGAGAGGAGGGGAGATGAGGGGAGTGGATGAGGAGAAGAAAGGAGAGGAGGGGAGATGAGGGGAGTGGACTGGAGGAGAAGAAAGGAGAGGAGGGGGGATGAGGGAAGTGGACTGGAGGAGAAGAAATGAGAGGAGGGGGGATGAGGGGAGTGGACTGGAGGAGAAGAAAGGAGAGGAGGGGGGATGAGGGGAGTGGACTGGAGGAGAAGAAAGGAGAGGAGGGGTTTATGAGGGGAGTGGGACTGGAGGAGAAGAAAGGAGAGGAGGGGAGTGGACTGGAGGAGAAGAAAGGATAGGAGGGGAGATGAGGGGAGTGGACTGGAGGAGAAGAAAGGAGAGGAGGGGGGATGAGGGGAGTGGATGAGAAGAAGAAGAAAATGTAAAAACATTTACGTTTATTTGAAAAATGTATCAACCCCTACAAAAATGTCCATTAATTATAATCCACATAATAATTCACATTTCAAGTTGCTGCAGGATTATTTTAATGCTCTATTAAGATCCTATATCTGTAGCAAGGAGAGGGGGAAAGAGAGAAGAGGGGGGAGAAGAGAAGGAAAGTTACAAAGAGAGGGTTATAATCCATCTCCTCTTCCAGAGATGTGGGATAGATAACACAACATAGTTCATCTTCCTGACAAATCCTGGACACACAGGTCTCCAATCTGAATGTACGAAAGAACGATGGAGAGAAGAAGAAAGACATCTGAAAGTGAGAAACAGCGGTGGAGCGAGAGGTAGAGGATGGAGGAATGGAGTGAATACATAAGTACCTGGAACCTTGGGCTAGTCTCTCAGCCTCCCAGTCACACATAGGTGATTCAATCTAAAAGCCCGAGAAATATAAATAATAAAAAAGGAAGAGAGAGCGAGCGAGAGAGAGAGGGGGGCGGAGGAGGAGGAGAGAGAGACAGAGAAGGAGAGAGAAAGAGTCAGAGAGAGGGGAGAGAGAGAAAGAGAGGGGGAGAGAGAGAGGGAAGGAGGGGGAGAGACAGAGAGAGAGAGAGAGAGAGAGAGAGAGTCAGAGAGAGGGGGAGAGAGAGGAAGCGAGGGGGAGAGAGAGAGAGAGAGAGGGGAGGGGGAGAGAGAGAGAGGGAGAGACAGAGAGAGAGACAGAGGGATAAGAAGGATGAGGGAAGGAGAAATTGATTTGATATATGCAGGCTTATGCAGAATTAGAATAGGATTTTCCTCTTATAGTGAGTGAGATTAAGACAGAGAAACAACAACCATTCCTCATGCAGAGAATAAGAAATATGTACAGATTCTGTAAGTGGATTTGTGCACACGAGCGCAAACACTTAATGCAACCACACAGCCTGGAGTAGAGCTGAGTGCTCAGGGACCTATTGTCCAGCTGAGCTGTGGCACACTTACCTGGAGAGAGAGACAGAGGGAGTGGGGGACAAAATGGGGGAAAGGAAGAGTGCATTAGCAAAAGAGAGAGAGGGAGAGAGAAAGAGAAGCTTATGTGATGAGTGATGAGTTTGTGTGATGAGTGTTTGTTGAGAGAGCATACCCATGTCCAGTTAGACCCCAGCTTTAAACCCCATGTCCAGTTAGACCCCAGCTTTAAACCGCATGTCCAGTTAGGCCCCAGCTTTAAACTCCATGTCCAGTTAGGCCCCAGCTTTAAACCCCATGTCCAGTTAGGCCCCAGCTTTAAACCCCATGTCCAGTTAGACCCCAGCTTTAAACCTCATGTCCAGTTAGACCCCATCTTTAGACCCCATGTCCAGTTAGACCCCAGCTTTAAACCCCATGTCCAGTTAGACCCAGCTTTAAACCTCATTCCAGTTAGACCCCATCTTTAGACCCCGTCCAGTTAGACCCCAGCTTTAAACCTCATGTCCAGTTAGACCCCATCTTTAGACCCCATGTCCGCTATACGATCCCTCCTCCCCTCAGGCAGACTGTATAGGGTCACTCCTCCCCTCAGGCAGACACTTTAGGGTCCCTCCTCCCCTCTGGCAGACACTCTAGGGTTCTTACATGTAAGCTGAACAGGTATAATAAGCACTCCTTAAACAGCAATAAATAATAGTCTATTCTGCAATAGTCTATGTGCCGGGGATAGTCTGAGCTAGGGTCAGTCTGTTATATCTGGTGTAATTCTCCTGTCTGATCTGGTGTCCTTGTGATACTTTAAGTATGCTCCCTCTTAATATCTCTTTCTCTCTCCTCTCTCCCTCCCCTCCAAGAGGAGCCTAGGGACATATGCCTCAGGACTACTGGCCTGATGACTCCTGGCTGTTCCCCATTCCACCTGGAAGTGGTGCTGCTCCTTCCAGTTTCAACTGTTCTGCCTGCGGCTCTATGGAACCCTCTGGACCTGGTTAACCGGACGCTGCTACCTGGTTCCCGGACCTGCTATTTTCGACTCTCTCTCTCTCTCCTTCTCTTCTCTCTCTCTCTCTCTCTTCTCTCTCTCTCTCTCTCTCTCTCTCTCTATCTCTCTCTCTCTTCCTCTCTTCTCTCTCTCTCTCTCTCTTCTCTCTATCTCTCTCTCTCTCTCTCTCTCTCTCTCGCTCTCTCACTCTCTCTCTCACTCTAATGCACCTGCTGTCTCGACCTCTGAATGCTCAGCTATGAAAAGCCAACTGATTTATACCCCTGAGGTACTGACCTGATTCACCCTCTACAACCACTGTGATAATTATTTGACCCTGCTGGTCATCTATGAACATTTGAACATCTTGAAGAACAATCTGGCCTTACAGTTTTTCTCAATTGCTAAAACACTAAACCCTATTGTCTGAACCAAATGCTCAGTTGCCTGAACCCACTGATTGAATCAATCACTCTTTTGGCAAAACCATAAGCACTTTTCACCTGTTTAGACATAACTTGTCAACACATTTTCATTGTGATGCACCCGTGCTGCA